AGTGGTCTTGGAAATAATTCTTGTATTTAATTATTCGTAAATAATTATTTTTGAGACTGCAAGTACCAGGAATCTGAGATTCATTAATTAAATTTAAAATATATTCCTTAAGTTTTCATAAAGCAATAATTTTCAGTAGATATATGGGATGTATAAAGAATTGATATCGAAGCATTAGTTTTCTATTAAGCTGATAGAGGTTGATTACTGACACTGGCAGTGTGTGTGTAAATGGAGAAATTCATTTAAAATCTTTTAAATGGAGGATCAGTGACGGCGAGGATTTTGCAGCATCCATACCACTTACACCATTACACAGTGACTCTAAGATTGCGTTGAAATCATTATAAAATTGTTCAAAAAAAACATTCTAGTTTAATCTTTGAGTCGCATAATTTCTTACCTGCACATCACAATAAATGGATAAAGGTCAGTTTATTCCACTACTTCGCATACATAAATTTGCTGATATATTGTGAAAATAAAACTTAACTTTATTATTGGCCATACAAAATATTCTGTATTGCCTACGAAAGTCTCCTTCAGCAAATATGAAGTGTATGCGTTATTATCCTTTTTATGATTTAATGCACTTCATCGTTGAACTTTGACGCTATTTCGCAAATCATAAAGCTTTGAAAGCAGTTGTATTGACACTTTTTAATGGAAAATAGTAGAGCCACAACCATAAAAATCCGGGAGTTTTAGTTTATGCTGCTGCGGACTACACACTGAAAACTACCAAGAAGCTTGACCAGCTCCGAAGGAAAAAGCATTAAATTAATGCGCACACACAGCGAATATTGCTTATCTTGGAATCCATTTGCTATTATTTTGTTTATATTTTCTTTTATTGAAATGGAAACTAGGAATAAAGAACTGTCGTAAAAACATCGTTAAATGATTTTAATTTTAGATTAAAATGTAAACAAATTTCATTTTACAAATTTGTCATTTATTTTTTAGATGAAACTTCGATTCAAAAAATATATTTTTAATTTTGGACCGAAGCGCCGAAAAATATGCAACGATTTGAGTATTTTTGGATTTGATAGAAATATGCTTAGGACGTGAAAAAGGATAATAATAATGTATTTTTTATAATTGTTTCTTTGAGATATATACTAAAATACTGTTATTACCCTGATGATGACTATAGATTATAGTAGAAATATCGGTTAAAATAAAATCTTTATGTTATTTAACTGTTGACCAATTAGCCCGTAAAACAAAATTATTATTATAATAAGGTTCATAATAATATTTACACAAGTATTTAAAGTGCGTTCAACATATGTCAATAATATATTTATATATAAATATTAAAAAACATTTCAGATATACGTTAAAAATAACAAAATTAAACATCATTTGTTCTGCATTAACATTTTACATTCTTCTTTTATTCCTGCCAATTACTCACCGAGCTTCCAGCGGTGCATAGCATTTCAATAATGTTTTTAAATCATATATCGCTTAATATTTCACGGCATATATCGCTTACATATCTTACCCACAATCAATATTGATATTGATTACCTCACTGGTTCTTTGCAGCGTCAAGCATCCGAATTTGCTATCGATTGTGATATAATGTGATACATATCCTTCTAAGTAGCTTCGTTGTAAATTTAGTAAGTGGTCAATTCATAACAATTTTTTGACTACAATTCTTTTGTTTTATTTTTGAATTTCATGATTTTATCTTTAAAATTCTGTGCACTTTTAGAGACCAATAGGAGTATATTTGCAGAGATCGCAGCAAATCATAATATGACGGTGTAACGGCATTACTATATTGTAACTATATCAAAGTCCCCTACTCGAGTTCTGTCAATATTTGCTGGTTCATTACTGATATTTGTGGTTTAAAGTTGTAATGATGAAATACAACAACTTCCCTCTTCAATAATTCCTTTTTTTTTAATCAATTTTTAGTTTAACTGCTTTAAATGCTAACAGAAAAGACTCGTATCAATCGTTTGTTAAATCGTTGGTACCTGATAATGGATGATTACTTTGCAGTCCCCACCTTACAATAAATGCTTTGTCACTGTTTATGGAGTTTAAAAATCATGATCGAACGTTATTGTATGGAATTCCCTTTTCTTTACTTATTATCGTACGTTTGAAAAATGTTACTATTTCACTGATTGCACCAGCGACTCCCAGATGGAAATTCGTTCCAATAATATTTTTTTGCACTTAGCTCATGAGGCATCAAACCAAAATCCTCTTTTTGTAACTTTTGTATTGAAAGCTTTTGGATTAAAAATATTCCTTTCGAAGTAGTTCTTTAGTGAAAAGTAAATACTCACATGCTGCTCATCTGGAACTTCAATGATACTATATGAAATTTCATACACAAGTTTTTTGATAGTTCG